GGAGAAGTTGGGGTATATGGAACCTGCCAAACTCTGATCAATAGTCTCCTTCTGGTCTCCTTTCTCAGTGCAAACCCCCATCCCCCCATCCCATTCTAATCCTCTAATCAGAGCCTCTAGGTGGCTCTGCTGGTCTGAACAGGATCTGTCTCCTGTCCACTGTGCATTCTCTGGGGGGCTCTTTATATTGGGGTTGGTTCTGAGATCCACTGTGGTTGCCAACAGCGTCCAAATGATTCTGAAGGGACCTCCGCTGTCTTGCTGACAGTGTCACCCAAGTCAACATCACAAAGACAGTTAAGGCCAGTCATCAAAACCCCATTCTGGAAGCCAAGCCTCCTCCACGAGCCTCTTGCTAGCAGTGTCCTTGCTAGAAGCTGCTGCAAGATCTGCCTCTAGTACTGACTTAGTTTCTTAAGTTGATGAGCAGAGCTAAGTCCTACCAGCACTGGCTGGGGGAGTCTGACAGTGGCTGAAACAAATTAGTAAAACAGACAGTACGTGAATGAGCCCTGTGGTGATTGTTGCTGGTTACTGTGGTCTGCTCAGCCTGAGAGGAGGGGTTGGGTGCTGAGCCTGCATGGGGCAGCAACTTGACATGTGTGGTCTCATGTCACCCCACAGCAACCCCCCGCCCCCCCTGGCCAGGTAGGAATGATTTTCCTCCTTTTGCAGACAAAGACACTGCCCTTCAGAGGCCAGGTGCCCACACAGCCTCATTCTGGGCCCTGCCACCCTCCCCAGCTTCATTCGCAGTCCTTCTGAGCTGGGTAAGGGCCAAGGGCTCCCTCTGGGGGTTTGTTGCATGAAGCCTGGACAGAGGCTATGCTGGCTGTCGGGGGGACTCCACCTAGGGTCTTATTTGGGGGGAAGGAAGGTGGGAAGACAGCATGGGACCAACAGGTGGCCCTGATCAATGGACACTGCTGGGAATCACAGCCCTTCCTTTCTGCACTAACTGGACTCTCTTCATACCGCCCCAACATGCTGTGCGGCATATTTGAAAGACATTAGGAGAGTAGGCGCTAAGAGTTCTCATCATAAGGAAACAAACCATTTTTTTTATTTTTAAATAAATTTTATTTTTATATTCCCCATACAATTGCAACCCCCTTATTTTGACCCCAATCTCTCCCCTCCCCGCCCCCACCCCGCATAGAGTGTCTCTGGTTCATAGTTTTTTGTTGATTTTGATTTTCACTTTCTTATAGTTATTCATTTTCCTGGTCCCTTAGTTAAGTTTTCTAGATTCCTGCTATGAGTGAGACCATCCGGTATTTTTCTTTTTCTTTCTGGCTTATTTCGCTGAGCATGATCCCTTCCAGCGCCATCCATGTTGCTGCAAATTGCATGTGCTTATCTTTTTTGAATGCTGAGTAATATTCCATGGTGTATATGTACCACATCTTCTTGATCCAGTCATCTGTTTTTGGGTATTTGGGTTGTTTCCATAGCTTAGCTATTGTAAACAGTGCTGCTATAAACATAGGGGTGCAGGTGCTCTTTGGAATGGATGTTTCTGTGTCCTTTGCATAAATACCTAGGAGTGGAATTGCTGGATCATATGGAAGCTTATGTTTAGTAGGTCCAGAAATCTCCACACAGCTCTCCATAGTGGTTGGACCAGTTTGCACTCCCACCAACAGTGCAGGAGAGTTCCTTTTTCTCCACACCCTCGCCAACATTTGTTGTTGCTAAGAGGAAACAAACCATTTTTCTTTTTCTTTTTTATTTATTTATTTATTTATTTATTTATTTATTTATTTATTTATGCAAGCACTGGGTACTGTCAGAAGCGCGGAAGGGTGAGAGAATTCACCAGAGTCAGAGCAGGGAGCAGAGCAGGCAGAAGGACTGAAGTACACTGCTGAGGGGAGCAGTGGGCGGCAGGAGAGGTCTGCGCGCCATGTGGGACCCTCTTCCGGTGGCCGGGGAGCAGCCGGGGATCGAACCAGCACTGCAGAGGCTGCGGGCAGCTTTGCAACTAGGGAGGCCCCGTTTTTTCGTATCCTTGTAAGATGATGACTATCAACCAAATGTATCGTGGTGATTTCACAATACAGGTATCTCTGCTTTTGGAAAGTCAATGTTATGTCAGTTCGCTTTTACAAAAGATGTACATGACTACCTGTTTTCTTGAACCGAAAGAAACCTCAAGAGGATTTTTGCTTCTAGGACAAAAGACAAAAAGCAAAATAGCATTTGCCATTTGTTTTACAGCAGGCTTTCTGGACACAGTGGCACCCTGAGCAGTGAAAGCGGCCCCCCCTATCTCCTTCCTGGAAATCACTTCCTACAGGCTGCATATTTGTCATATCATCTCTGCTCTTACTATATGTGAGTATTGTATAGGTTTTATGTGCTAGTTGGTGTGATTTTTGGTAGGTTGATTTGGGGGTCTGATGCTTGACAGTTTTTCCATATAAATAAATAGTAATTGCTTCTTCACCTTCTTCATCATTTCACAGACATTCTCATAGGTACACTGCAAGAGGGAAAACCTATAAATGCACAGTGCTGTACACTGTGACCTCATACAGTGCTGCATGCTAGCTATAGCTCAATGAAACTGAAGTGTAAATTTTAAGATAACTTAAAAAGAAAATAAAACAAAAAGCTCTAATGTTCTTGCCTGCAAATTAGGGATGATAAGGCCCCTGCCCCATTACTGTGAGGATTCAACAGGATGAATAAAATGTGCTAAGACACACATGGTGACGTAACAATATTTGATAATAGTAACCTATTACTATTGTTAGTATCTCCTCAGTTTCCTAGTTTATAAGATACAGACTTTCATTTAATGATTATTAATTGAGCAGCGACTGTGCGCAGGTAGCTATAGTATTTTAGGCTTCCTGCCCTTGTGACCTGCTCCTTTGGGGAGGGGGTGGGAAGCACAACTAGTTATGTGTCCCCTTTAACCCTCTCACGCCCATTCTACCCCCATACCTCCACTCCGCTACCCTTCATCTCCTCCCTCCCCCAAAAACACACATTTAGGGCCTGGGGTATTGAAGACCAAGTTTAAGAGTTGGGCTCCTACAGGCAGGTTGGCTACGCCACCTAGTGGCCACACATAGCCATGCCAGAAGACCTGTGCCTCCTGCCTTCAAATCAGTCTCCCTCCAAGGGCTCACAGAATGGGGTAGGCAGGACACATTGCCAGTGCCAAACATCCCATAGTATTTTTTGCTCACTTCACAGGCCTCAGAGGGGATGTGGGCAGGTCAGGGGGTTGGAAGAAGTCAGCCCTGGGTTGTTGGCATAACCTCTTAGCAAACAACCTATAAAATACTCTGGCCTCAGTTTTCCTTATCTGAAAAATGGGTGATCATAAAGTAAGTCCCTTCACACAGAATTATAGTGAGACCCAGAAGGATGGGGGAACATGAAAGAGTTGATTTCTGTGGCTCTCTGATGAGCTGTTGGTGTACTGTGCCAGCTAAGAGTGAACTGGGCAAATCCAAGGACCTGCTGACTGCAGCGAGGAGCCAGGTATGAAACCAGAGTGATAACTAGGACCCCAATGCCAGGTTGGCACAATGCAGGGGAGCATGGGCCTTGGAATCTGACATATTCCAATCCTGGTGGCCCCCCAGCACACCCCTTGACCCATCTGATGCCCAGTTCCCTTTTCTCTAACATCATTATTATGGACCTTTATGGGTGAAAAGGCATAATCCCAGAGCCAGTGCACAAAAAGCATGAAAACAAGGGCAACTTTCCTTGATTGACTCTATGGGAAGGTGGGGAGGGGTCACCCAAAGGGGCGGTCCTCTCAAAGATCATGAGGCCAAAGTTCATGTCCATTTCAGGGTCCCAGCATGGTCCCAGCACCTGCTAGTGTCCAGGCTGTGAGCAGTGGTCGCCTTACAAGGAAACCACATCCCGCGCTCCCTCCTGAACACAGGTGCAGAAAATTCCAACAAAATTTAAGCAGATCCAATCCAACAGCGTATTAAATAGGTAACATGGCTTGACCACGTGGGGCTTATTCCGGGAATGAAAGATTGATCTAACATTTGAAAGTTAACCAACATAATTCATCATATTAACAAATTTTTAAAGGCAGGAAAAGCACTTGACAAAACCCAAACTCTATTATTAAAATTTTCAGTTAATTACAAGACATTATTAAGAGATATAGAAGATATAAAGAAACAGAAAGATATTCCTTATTCATGGATTGGAAGAATTAACATCGTTAAGATGGCCATGTTACCCGAATGTACAGATTCAGTGCAATTTCTACTGAAGCCTCACTACGGGGTGGAGGGAGGACTATAAAGAGGAAATTATTAAGAGGCAGGAGGACATTTTTTAGGATAATGGATGTTTGATATCTTGATTGTGGTGATGGTTTCACTTATATACTGATGTGCACTTTATGTCAAGTATATTTCCTATATTGTTAAAAAAATTAAGTTTGGAACTATTGTATTTATAATTTTTATACAAAACCAGTCTTCCTTAATGTACTTTGTCTTGGTTTTCTTATGTAACATGAAAGTCCAAAATCAAAGCCCACAAATCTCTAGTTTCACAATATACTGTGAGCTGCACTAACTCATCATTTCCATCGTGTGCTCTGGTGTGGGCAAAGGATGGATTTTGAGGGTCCTTCTTCCATCCTTGTGAGACTAGGGGTCAGGTGTGATGATGTTGGTGGCTTTGCAGCACAAAGGGCTGCAGTAGCAGAGGCACCCCCAACCACAGGACTGAAAAAGTCCTCTCTTCATGTTCTGTTCTGCTTTCTGGAGAGGTGAGTGGCTGAGGTTCAGAAGGAAAAGCACAGTTGATTATCCACTAAACCCCTGCCCCTGTTGAGTGCCAGCCACGAGCCTGGCTCCATGTGAGCAGCAGTGTGAGGGAGAGAGTTCTGTGAGTGGTGGTGGAAAGAGGGGAGGGGAAGGTAACCAGGTTTCCGGGTTCCAGAGTAATGAGACTTTGAGACTTTGGGTAAGGAAACCCAGCAGTCACCCCCCTCCCCCGCCCCAACCCACCAGACATGGTGCCTCTGCATCATGCTGCCCAAGGTGGTTCCATGACCATCCATGGGGAGAGCCGCACCAGCTTTGCACCCCAAGTTCCATGTGTCCACGTGAGGCTTTATCACTTACTATGTACCTTGGGCAAGTTATTTAATCACTCTGTGCATCAGTTTCTCCGTCAAAAAAAAAAAAGTACTTACCACACAGCTGTGAGGATTAAAGGAGTTAAAACCTATGTTTAGGCATGTTCCTAATGGATGCCCACTGATGATTTTGCTCTTGTTGCCCTTTCTATCCCTCTGAAGACCCTTCTCCAGCCCCTTCCTGCCCCACGGCAAGCAACTCTGGCAGACCAAACATCCAACCACTCAACTTCTGGGTCTTATGGAAATTCCCTTAACATACTATGTTGAGTTCATGTTTAGAGCACTTGCTAATTTATTGCTATTGCTCTATCTGCTAAGAACCTTACAGAAAATCCATGCAAATCCTGTCATCTCCAGCAGAGGGTGATCGGCACCAAGTTTTGCATTGAGCATCGACTGTTCTGGGACTCCCAGGCCTTGGGTACAAGGTCCTTGCTGTTAAAGAGTCACTCAGGCTCTAAAGCCTCAGGCAATTTGTGGGCACTGCTCCTTCCTGGACCCCTTGATTTTCCTAGTTTCCATCTGCCTGACTTCCTGGAGAAGATGCCTCATGCCATAGCTGGCTTGGCCTCAGTTTCTCAGTTTGTAAAATAAATGGTGCTATCTCTGCCTGTTCTCCTGAGGTTTCCCATGTGAATTCTGAGCAGGACGAGCAGGCACAGGAGGCCCCAAGCCCAGCCCACAAGCGCCGCTGGGAAATCATTTCCTTAAGTAGCAACACCACCAGAGTGGGAGAGGCCTTTCTAAACCAGGAGTACACAGCCGGCGGGCTGCTAATCCTCTCAGGCCTCAGTGTCCCCAACTGTGCCAAATCTTGGCCCGAGGGTATCCTCCTTCAATCCTTGCACCAAGAAGGAGTTTCTTAGCCCAAGTGAGGGCTTCCTCATCCCCTCCCCATCCCAAAAGCCAAACAGAAGACAAAAAAAAAAAAAAAAAAATCACATCTTTAATGTTTGATTAATAAACTGACTTGGAGGGGCAAGAATAGTGTCATGAGGAAACACCCAACTTTTATTACACAAAATTAGTGTTAACTAATTAGTGTTAACTAATTAGTGTTGACTAATCCTGTTAACTGTACACAAAATTAATGTTATAAAAGTCACATTGAAAAATAGGGTCTGCAAAGCAGTAGCCCTTGGGAAGTTCAAGGCACCTGAGACTCTCAGTTGGGCCTCTGAAGCATGGCTGAGAGAATGGGGGTCCAGGGGCTGCACCCCACCCTTCCATCACTGTGGGGCACGTATGCTGTAGTCTTTCCCCGCTCACAAATCACTACAAAACTGCCCTCCAGGGATTTAGCCGCTATAGGCCAAGGCACTACCAGAAATGAAATGGGCCCTGAGCTGAGCACTGAGCCCCTGACTTGCAGCGGCCCAGGCCCACAGCAGGGCCTCCCTGTTCCCCACGCCCAGCGGTGCTCATGGTGGGCCAGAATCCTGGAGCTGGGGAGGGTCGTAGGCTCCACCCCTCTGAGAGGCAAGGCTATGGGGCCCCTGAGCAGACACTATGCTAAACCCAGCCTGGGTTTTGGTCAGGACCAAGTGTGGGACAATGGGCCACAGCCCTGTCCAGGCCCCACGGTGTGGCCTGGGCAGGGTTGGCTGACATAGCCTGCTGGAGCCGCTTCCCCAGGCGGGGGCCCTAAGTGGGGTAGCACATACAGCATCCTGTGCCTGCCGCCTCCACACTGGGCTTGTCACTGGAACTCAGTAACCCATCGGTGGCAGAGTACTCATTGATGATGTCCTCCACCCGGGTGATGTACAGTAACGTCAGCAGCACCCCGAGGAACTGAGGAGAAGGACAGGTGAGAGTCTGTTGGGGATCTGGGCAATCCCTGCTATCCAAGCAGCCCCAGTCTGGCCCTCTTCTATCCACACTTACCCCCCACCCCCAACCCAGGACAGCCCAGAAACTCGCTCTGTGCCACATCAGCAGAGGCCCCTCCATTTTTTGCTTCCATCTCCACCCCAGCTATGTCACTCACTACCTGGGAAATCTTGGGCAAGCCACCTGAGCTTGCTGAGCCTCAATTTCCTCTTCTGTAAAGTGGGAGTGACAATGGTAACCTACATCAGAGAATTTGGAGGGGGCAGCACCTATATACCACTTGGAAGAGCTTTCTGCTTAAGCCATGCTATTGCTGCTGGCTTCTTCTTCCAGCCCTCCATGGGTGAGCCCAGCTCACTGGTACAAGAGCCTCCTTCACTCTGCCCCTTTGTACCTTCCCTGTACTTCTGAGATCTCCCAGCCACCCTATCTGAACCCAAGGCCTGCCTACCACCCCACCTCCAGTTCCCTCCCTGGGTGAGGTGCCCACCTGGGGGAGCAGGATGCCCAGCAGGAGGCCCGCCATGATGGTGTAGTTGTCCATGAACCAGATGAGCACAGCATTGGTGCAGCCCCGCACGTAAATGATGTCATGCACGCTGAGGCGCTGTACAGGGAGGAGCTGTGCTGAGGCCCCAGCCTGCCGAGTCCAGCCCAGCTCTGCCAGGCAGGCCTCTCGGCAGCGCTGGGCCTCAGCCTCTCACATGCAATGTCAGGTTCTAGACCACTGGGCTCTAGATCACTGCATCTTGGTGGGCAGTGCTGTTTCCTGGAGAGCACCGGGGACACAACAGAGCCACTTCTGGGTGTCACAAGTATTACGGCTGGGGGCCTGTGGCACTCAGGGCAGTCCTACCCCACAATGGCCTGCCTACCTCTCAGATGTCCCCCAGGCCTTCATGTGGGTGAAAGCTTGTACATTAATTTGTAAGGCAAAAGCCTCGCTCCAGAGACATATAAAAACCACAGTATTTTCTGTGTGGTTTTAATGTACACCGAATTTTGCAAAAATACTCCTATGCAAATTAAGAAAAGATTATACTTGGTTTGAATTTATTAAAAATTGCTCATCATTTTCAAAAAATGTGTCAGTGGGAAAAGGATGTCCCTGGTACACAGGTTCCCAGCACAACATCCCAGGCCAGGTAAGTGCTGCCCAATTCATGCCAACACTGCCTGTTTCACTGTGCCCCCTGCTATTGGGCATCAGCATCCGACCATTCGCACATTGAAATACAGCATGTGGAGATACGCCGTTTCATTTTACTTCCCCTTTTGTCTCCACTAGATCATTATGTTACTTGTTTTGAAATGAGGTGTGTAAGCAAGCTGCATTGCGGTGAATTTCAGGGCTCACCAAATGTTTGTTATAAAAACTGGCCATTGGGTCGTGTCTGCGCCTCTCAACTTAAATGTGTCAGAATCACTGCTCAGGCCCCACTCCAGGAATGTGCATTTCTGACAAGTTTCGAGGTCAGGGACCTGGGGTGCTGCTGGTCCAGGGACCTCACTTTGAACCACTCCCCAGAAGCATCTCAAGTCATTTTAGCTCCCTTCTCAGAACGACCCCAGCTTCTTTCCTGGTCCAGGGTCATTGCAAACCAGAGGCAGGAAGCAAACCAGAGGCAGGCTGAGGACACTCCACGGGCAGAGGCAGGCTGTTGCTGAGCATGGCTGGGAACACTGATGCAAGGGGACACCAGCAAGGGCATGGTGACCTCACAAGACAAGCGCACAGTGTCTGCTCAGCAAACCCTGGCAGGTGGTCTCTCCCAGCCTGGGCAGATCTCTGGCCCCCTGAGCTCATCTGTGCCTGCATTGGGGTGGAAAACCCCAGTAGTCCCTGGCTCTTATTCACTGCCATGAATGTTGGGAAATCCCAGCAGTCAGGAGCCTGACCCCAGGAAGCCCTCTAATCATCCTGGGGGCAGAATAGGAAAAGCAATCTTTGCAGAGAAGAGAGATTTCAAAGACATTACCTCCTTGTCGATAGTTCTATAACCACACATGGTGTTGACGACTTCTGTCTGAAACAGAAATGTACATTAGCTGACATTTACCAGGTACTTATTGTAGAAGACACTCTTCTCCCCATTTTAGGGATGAGTGAACTGAGGCACAGGGCTCTGCCTGCACTGTCTAGTATTGGTGAAGGACATTTCCACTCAGGCAGTCTGACTTATCTGAACCTTAACCTCCTCCTTGCTAGAAATGCCCAGAGAGAAAGGTGGAAGGCCACTTCCCCAGCATGCGGGAGGGAGCCCCACCCCTCTACCTGCAGGAACCTTGGGACCCAGAGAAAAGTAGCTGCCCCAGAGGTTCAGCTTTGGTGCTCTTGTAAAGGAAACCACAGACAATAGCCAGGAACATGGCCAGTTGTGGTTTAGCTGAGGACAAGACCAGGCCTCTGACCGTACTGCCCTGTCCCTGCAGACCACCACCCATGAGTAGAATTGCCCCCCCGCCCCAAGTTCTTTCCTGGGAAGTGTTGCTCTCAGGAACTTGTAGTGGCTGACTAGGTGCAAGGAAAGCCCTAGGCCCCATCAGACCCCTCCCGAGCAGGCCTGTCTCTGCCTGGCAGAGGTACTTCCATCACCCTCTGCCCCCCATCCCTGTGGTCTCCTTCTATAAGGGGAAGGAAACACCTGCTCCCACCCCTCCTCTGGCAGTAGTGATTCAGAAGAGCAGAGAGGCCGGTGGCATCATGTTACCTGGTCCTGAGCTCTGTGACCAACCTTAGGTATGCTGTTGTGGGCCAGCACCAGGAAGCATTCAATGAATATTTGTTGAGTGAGTAATGAGTAGTTTGCCTAGTCTCTTCTATAAAACCACGTGATCAGTGACCCCACTTCATGGATTGTTTTGAACATAAAGTGAGATATGTGTGTGAAATGCTTATCCTGGGGTCAGGTCCTCAGGATTGGTAGGAATGCTAACTGCATTCCTAACACTCCCAGCCTCTGGAAAGGCGAGGAAGGGTGTCTACACTCCTCCCACAAGAGTGGTTTGGACCTCAGATGTCATCGAGAGCAGTCTAAATGTCAAGACGTGGTGTGTTGGAAAAATAACCTCCCTCAGTCTAGACTATCCTGAAACTGAGCAACACCCACCACCCACTTACATTAATTGGCTTTTATTTTTATTATTATTATTTTTTTAATTTTTAAAAAGATTTATTTATTTATTTATTTATAGAAGCACTGGGTGTAGTCAGAAGTGCGGGAGGGTGAGAGGATTCAACAGAGCCAGAGCAGGGAGCAGAACAGGCAGAAGGACCAAAGCACACTGCTGAGGGGAGCAGCAGTAGCGGCAGGGGAGGTCTGCACGCCATGTGGGACCCTCACCTGGTGGCTGGGGATGGAACCAGCGCTGTAGAGGCTGCGGGCAGCTTCGCAACCCAGCGCCCTACTTGGCTTTTGAGGGCCCTCGAGGCCCAAACAGGACCCAGGAGAGGGACTGCCTGGGAACAGGGGCAGAGAGCATGATAGGAACGAGTGCTTTGGTTGTTTGTTCATGTAGTCATTCACCAAACAAAAATTAACTGAACACCTATTATGTGCCAATTACTGTTGTAAGTGTTTGAAATCTAGAAGAACAAAATAAAGACCTTGCCTTCATGGGACTTATATTCTAGGAAAGGAGATAGAAATTAACATTGTAAGCTATATGGTAGAAGGTAACAAGTGACTTTCCTTTTCACTGTGGTTCTAGCCCTGGAGGCAGAACCATTGCCCCTGCTCTCGGGAAACAGTCATGTCTATGGCAGAGGCCTCCCTCACACCTGGGGCCCAGAATACTCTCTAGGCCCCGGTACTGGCTTCCCCTGCCAGGGAAGCCCCTCCCTAAAGTGGTGGAGATGAGATGCCTCCATGGTCTTTCCAAAGGTAAAACTTGCCTGGTTTGACCACAGAACCAATAGTCTACAATGGGCTCAGCTGTGCAGTCGCCTCTTCCATATAGCACACGCCACAAGACAAGAAGTCAGAAAAAGGACTCCAGGCAGCCAAAACAGGGACACAGTAAAGCTCATACACTTTACCCACATGTGTTTGCTCTCATGCTGGCACAGGACTGATGAACTAGGTTATCAGAGGTCTAATGGGAAGGGGGACAGAGGTTTTCAAAGACAGGCCCCCATAGGGTAGTCAACAATGATGGTGGGTATCAATAAAAATTGGACACAGGAGTTTACCAGGCACAGCAGTCTGAGGCCATGCAGAAGCCGTCTACACCAACAATCTCAGAGCACCACTCAGTATAAGCAAATTTTACAAGCCAAAGTGAAGCTCCACTGTTGATGGTGTAAATCGTGTCCTAAGACAAGTAGGCTTGAGACCCAGAAAGACCTAATGTTTCAGGTCAAGCCCCAAGACAATCAGGTAGAATTCTCCCTTACACAGGGGAGGGACATATCCCACCCAAATCCTCTTATAGGAAGTCTAGTAAAGAAATTTCTTGTAAAGCTGAGAGCTAGAGGTGGGGGTGAGGGGCAGTTACTCTTCTCTGAACTGGTATGTTTTCTTCTGTTGAACAGTAATAGTGCAACAGACCATATTTCCCTTTTTCCTTTGTCTGCCAGGAAGCTCTAAGCTCCCAATATGCAACTCATTTCCAGTGATTTCATAGACTCTTTGGGCCTATGTATCAGTAGTAGACATAGATCTACTATTTTTGACTGTATTTTCCATAGTCCTGATTTTTTTAAATTTTCATTTTTTATTCTATGTATTCTATGTATCTCCCTTCTTTGTTGAATAAAATAGTGTAAAATACATTTGTATGCAAATGGAGCCATCTACCAAGGAAGGAAGCACCTTTCACATTTAGTGAAAATCATCCAAATGTGGAGGCCCAGGGAGAACCCATTTGTATGAAAAAAATATATAAATACATCCCAATCTGAATAAAGCAGATGTTCTCCCTATATGGGCCTTATCCAATCAGTGGAAGGCCTGAATAGAAGAGAACAGATGTCTCTTCCCGAAGTAAGAGAGAGCTTTTCCTGTCTGACTGCCTTCAGACACAAATTGAAATGTTGATTCTTCCTGGGTGTCAGCCCTGTAGGTCTTTGGACAAGAACTACATCAGCTCTCTGGTTTCCAGGCCTTCAGACTCGGACTGGAAGAAAATCATTGGTTCTTCTGGGTCTCCAGCTCCCTGACTTGTCCTGCAGATCTTGGAATTTGCCTGCCTCCATAACAAGAGCCAGTTCCTTACAGTAAATCTCTTCTCTCTCTCTCTCTCTCTGATTCAGATACACACACACACACACACACACACACACACACACACACACACACACACACATACCCCTACTGATTCTGTTTCTCTAGTAACCCCAACTGATCCATTTCTTCTGAACAGGGCCAGCAAGTCCCTTCCTGAGGAGAACACTGCACTCATGCAATCCCCCAGTCAGTGTGGGGGATGAAGGCCCGGCCCTCTTACCCTAGTATGAGACAACTGGGACCACCCAGATCACCCCTGCAGATTTAGCTAAGGCCTCCAAGTGCTGCCACTCTACTTTCCCCTCTCCCCACCCCTGCTTCTGTCACCTCCTTCACAGGTGTCAGCCCCCACAGCACCTCCTGCTAAGCCTCCCAGACAGCCTGGCCTGGACTGAAGCCACCTGGGCCGCTGCAGCTGGGCCTCTCCGTGTCTACCTATGCCCTGCAGCAGGCACGGCAATCCTGGTAAAGCCCGAGTAAGATGGGCCACAGAGCCCCTGAAGTCCTGTCATGAATCCCCATCCCTCAGGACATAAAAGTCCTGGCAGTGGCTTCCGGGCACCTGACTTCATCTGCTACTACCTCCTTCCCCTCCCCACCTGCTCCCTCTGCTCCAGTCACACCAGTCTCTCTGCCATTTTCCAAACACAATTGTCCGAGATCAGTTCCCACCTCAGAGCCCTGACACTTGCTGCCCTCTGCTAGGAATGCCCCCCCCACACACACACACTCGGGAGACTCCCTGTTTCCTTCAGACTTTTACTCAGAACCCACATTCTCAGTATCTAAAATTGCGATCTTCCATGTTTCTGCCTTACTGTTCTCCTTAGCATTTCTCCCCTTCTAAGGTACTATTTTTTTAGTTATTTATTTTGTTCTGCTTTCCCCACTAGAAAATCAGCTCTGTGCAGGCAGAGTTCTCTGTGTGTTTGTTATATACCCCCAGACCTTATAACTGCACCTGGCACATAGTAGGGTCTCAATACATGTTGAGAGAGTGAGTGAGTGAGTGAGTGAGAGAGTGAGTGAGTGAGTGAGTGAGAGAGTGAGTGAGTGAGTGAGTGAGTGAGTGAGTGAGTGAGTGAATTCACGTTGGACATCCAGGTCTCAATTTGGACTTTGGGTGTCACTGCTATGGGCCACAAAGTTCAGGACCATTCCCCCACTGGCCTCTCTGAAAACTCAGTGCCCCTCCCCATTGCCTGCAGAGCTACCCTAAAACGGCAGCTAAAGCTTCTGAACAAGCCTCTCCTCCTGGTCCACGAGCCTTTTTTAGGGCTTGTGCCCTGGGCACTAGCTCCCTGATGCATGGGTAAGGCCTCTACCGCCACAGCAGCTGTTGAATTACAGAACCCAGCAACGGGCACAGGGTGGTGGAGAAGGCAGAAGGAAATTTTCCATGACTGTCACGGCATGAGTAATTGCAAAGCTTTCTGCCTCATTCCAACTCAGAATCCAGGCAGTTTCTGGACACATTAGCTAAACACAGAGGACTGAGGAGGGCTCTCATCCGTCAGCGTGACTGCACAGCACAGCCTTCCAGTGGCCAGGGAAGTGACAGCCAGCTCTATCCTGCTGGGGATAGGTGGAGACTGGCATTGAGGTCACCAGGCCCTCCGCTTCCAAGAGCCCTGTTCCTCACGATCACCAGGACCTCAAGCCCCAAATCCCCCAGAGATGCCCAAAGTGTGGGCCCGGCTCTCAGTCTTCAGCTAATGCTGCAGGGCTGGCCGCCCCTTCTAAGGGCCCTGGCCCGGACCCCCCTCCAGCTCCTTGCCTGGCTTGTAGTCTAGAGCACAGAGCCAGCACGATGCCTGCATTCACCCAGCTCTCTCCACTGTGAACAAGGTCCCTAACCTTTCGGTACCTAGATGTCCTCATCTGGACAGCGGTAAAATAATAATACTGACCTTGCAAGGTTGATGAAAGGCTAGACTTTCATCTTAAGAGCCTAGACTAGGCCTGCATGTAGGAAGTGTACAATAGAGGTTAAGTTGCACTCCTAGTAAAGACAAGGTCTCCCACCCCAGCCCGACCCCAGTTGTCCCCCTTCTTGTAGCCCTTGAGGCTCAGGAAGCCTTAGCAAGGACTGTCACCGACTGCCTGCCCACCCCAAACACACAGCAAGTGCACACCACCCCCTCCCAGCCAGAAACAGGTGAGGTGCTTAGCCAGCATATTCCCAGTCCCAGAAGCAGTGGGCGTACCGTGTTTTTGAAGCAGCAAGTATAGGGCACCCCGCAGGCCAGGGGTCCGGGGGCGCTGCAGTCGTGATACTGGTTTTTGTTCCAATCTCGGTAGTCCTCCCCGCCACAGCACTTAAACTGAGAGAGGAAGCAAGTAAGGAAGGGAGCCGGCTGACTGGGAGGCTGCAGGCAGGTGGCAGGAAGGGGCCCTGCCAGACACGATGGATTTATTATGTGGGTCACCCTGGCAGGGGGAGCCGCAGGGAATACCCGTCAGGTCAGGTCGGCGCTCTCCAAGAGCAGCAGGGCTGCCAGCAGGCTGCGAGTACCCCCACACTGCAGAGGCCAAGCCCTCTGCTGGGGTTTGGGGATGGTGACCATACACTGCAAGTCCTTTCTTGACAACTGGACACCATCGTCGAGTCCCCAGTGCATGTTTCAGAACTGAGAAGTTGGCCTTAAGATCCCAGAGACTCGGAGTCTATGGACACCCCCACAACCCCGTGGCCCCCATACCATACTGACCTCCCCACTCACCCCAGCTCTGCCTGGCTTGCCTTAACAAAGGCTCCTTAGCTTAGACCCTCCCTGTTCCCCACCCCCCCCCATACCAGCACTCATGCAGGCCCAGGGAAGCAGTTGCTCTACTGCAGTGCTGGCTCTGGCGCTAAGAGTGAGCAGAAGCAGCACTGCCTGCCCATTGGGACACGTTCTAGTGGACAGAGACAGGACATAACCACTACAGGAAAAGGCCAGTGAGGCAGAGTCATGTACCAGGGACACAGGAAAACAGGAGGAAGCAGTGGGGAGGGGCAGCCTTAGCTTGGAAGTGCAGGAAGTCCCTCTGAGGAGATGGTATTTAATCTAAACATAAACAACAGAAAAAAGCCACAAGCAGACATGAGTTGGTGGTATTTCAGAAGCAGGCAGAGGTCAGTGTGTCCACAATGAGCGAGAGTGGAGGGCATGAGGTTGAGAGGGGGCACAGGCCGAACTACGCAAAGCCTTGTCAGCCAGAATAAGCAGGGAGCTGGGGGCGTATTATGAGGGATGGGGAGTCATGGAGTGTTTAATCAGTGGAGTGAGATTGTTGGAGGTCCTAGTTGAAACCCCTTCCACAGCCCCCCCCCTGCACCCCTGCCTCTTAGGCTATCAGATTTCAGGACCTGGATGTGCCTCCCTGTGGTGCAGTGCAAAGGGCATTTGCTTCGCAATCAGACTGGAGTTCAAATCCTCACACCACTACTCTTAGCTGTGTGACTTCAGGAAACTGAACAGCCTCTCGGGGCCTCAGATCCTCATCTGTAAAGCAGGAAGAGTGAGACCAGCTTTATGCATCTGAGCCGAGGATTACAAAGAGAGGCTGTGCATGAAGCACTCGGTACAGGGCCTGGCACCAAGCAGGTGCCCAATGAGCAAGAGTCACCCTCTATCCCACCCACGAGAGATGAAATTGCCAAGTCAGATGAAGGCTGGTTCCAATGAAAACATCTTGCTCCACCCAAAGCAGACTCAGCAGTCTGGCAGACACATCCTTGGCAGAAAAGGACCTACCAGAGGCTGCACCTGTTGTGACCACAGCGAAGGCTTAAGCCAAGGGAGTGGCCACTGTGCATGGCCCTAGGAGTGGTGAGATGTTGGCCCCACTGAGGGCCAGACTGAGGACCGGGGGGCTGAAGCCCCCAGCACTGTCCTGGAAGCACTGCCAAGACTGAGAGGGCCCACAGCCCTCACACTCTACTGGTCCTCATCCAGGAGAACACGACCATGATTAGTGCTGCAGCTGGCGCTTGTGGGGTTCTCATCACACGCTGGCATGGCTTGAAGCTCTTCTTAGTTAAGTCAAGCAGTCGACACTCAGTGGAAAGGACTACTAGTTTCCCCTGATGCTGGAGGAAACCTGAGGTTCCTAAATGGCATTGTTGTGTAGAAGCCACCAAGGGCAGTGGCTGGCTCTGAAACAGATTTGGGTGGACGTAGGGGATGAGGGACAGTGTCAGAAATGATAATCATCACATTCAAAGAAGCATCATGGAGGTAAATGGGTAAGGCTTGTTCTGACCCATTGCAAGGAGAAATGGAATTAAGGAAGCGCTCTCAGCCCACGGGGGTTGTCCTAGACTTGTCAGGGAGTGAACCCCATCACTGAAGGGACTGGGCAGAAGGAACATTTAACTGAGTAGCTTGGACATCATTCCCACCACAAGGAAGAAGAATATCTGACCAGTGACTAGGGGCACACGGGACCCTGCAAGGTAGACTTTAGCTATACCTGACCTTGTGTTTTTTTGGTTTTTTTTTTTTGAGGGGCAGGGTCCATGTACTGGTGAGGGACACACAGGCAAGGACATTCTGGGCCCAGGCATGTGGGAAGAGGTCTGGTTGGGAAGGCTGGGCCCCAAGCTTCCCCATCCTTGGCAGGTCATCCACAGCCCACCCTGCCTCTCACCTGCTTGGGAATGGATAAGTCCGTGACTCTCACCCTCATCCTCTTGAGCAAGGCCCTAAGATGTTGGGGAGGGGTGGACAAATGGCACAGTAGGCACATCTCTCGCCCAGACCACCCGGCTCACCTTCTTCTGAACAAAGTCCATGATGTTTTTGAAGTCCAGATCATCATAATAGTTCACGATTCCTCTTCGAATGTTGTCATTCAGAAAGTCGATGGTCTATTAGATGGAGAAATTACAAAGGAAAAGGCCCAACAACTGGAGTTCAACCCAAGATTTCCCAGAGGCCCAGATTAAAATACCGTCCATGTGCCCAGATGGCCCCCACCTGCATGGAGCACCCTCTAGTCCCACCCTGAATACCCAGGACTTCCCTGCCCAGACACCATCTCTGTGCCTCCAGTGCACCTCTGATGCCTGGGTGCTCTGCCATGTCTGAGCAGGATGATTCACCTCATTTCCAGTACCGAGCAGATAATCCAGGCACCAACAGTGGAGCACCCACCTTGGGTACATGGCCCCAAAGCAGGTTTGCCTAGTGTGTCCTTTCTACCTCCCAACGACAGGCCTGCAGTAGAATCTTCCCTATGCCCTCCAGACTCCTCGCCACTCATCTCTACTATCCAACCTCTTATGTTACAGAAAAGGAAACAGAGGCCCAAAGAGGTGGCCTGACTTGTCCCAGGTCGCAGAGCAGGCTGGTTGGGGGGCTCAGCCAGGACTGGAAATCAGGTCTCCCGACTTCCCACATGGACCACTCTTCATCATTGTAAGTGCTGGGACCCACAGGCGAAAGAGCCCACCTCCCAGCTCAGGCTGGGCCAATCCCCGCCGGGAAGACCCTGGCAGGCCGCCCTCTCTTGCTCATGCTGGGCCTTCTGGATCAACAGCTCTGCTGTTGTGCTGAGATCTGGGAGCACAAAAGGCCCCACAGTGGGAAGGGCTGGGGGTGGGAGTGTGGGCAGCTCAGCTCCACACTCACAGCCACAATGAGGGCTTTCAGAGCAAGGAGACTCGAGTATCATCAGAGATTGTGTTGGCACAAAGGGGGCATTCTCAGCTCTGGAGCCAGCTGATCCCCGGGGGAGGTGCCTACAGGGGTATACAGGGCCCCAGGTCCAGGCCGTGTCCTGCCACTGCAGACCCTGACACCCTTACTTTCTCCCTCTGCCTCAGTTTACCACTTACAAACCAACCCTGCAGTACTATCTTTAAGTTACCTTCCAGTTCTGAGGATCAAAGACTAGAACTGAGTGGGGCTGTCAAGCCTCATGGTTAAGAACAGTCCTTGCAGCCAGTCAGGCCTCAAGCACTTCATTTAATTTCTGACCCTCTAATTTCTCACATGCAGAATGCAGAGGGTGATCTTCCCTGCCTCATAGGGATGTTGTGAAATTTAAATAAACTAAAAGTACGAAAGTGTTTAGTTGGATGCTAGGCACATAGTAGGTCCCTGTAGCATTATTATAGATCTTTCCTTTTAGAACACAAAAGTACCCTATGGTTCCATTTCATACCCATCATCAGAGGAAAAAGATGAATCCCAAGGCCTTAACTCTTGCCCAAAAGACCAACTACAATGGCAGCCTCTGGGGGCAAGAGCAAGCCCTGATCTGAGACACAAGCACCCTGAAACCCAGAAAGGGATGTGATTTGTCCAAGGTCACCCCCACTGTTGTTGGCAGAAAGAGTTGGAACTGAGGTGTCAAACTCCCACCTTGATGCACTGTAAGTTAGTCAAGGTGAAAACTCAAGGTTCTGTTTGGGACCGCACCCCAAGCCATCTCCAGTCTCAGGGGGAGAACAAAGGATGCAACAGCTGCCTCCTTCCCCACACTCGCACTGCTCAGAGTCAAGGTCAGGAAGGAGACAGTCTCTGTGACCAGAAGGAAAACCCTCTGCCGATGATAAATAGCTGCTCCGGAGCAGACCTGGCAGCTGAGCGAGTCGGGAAGGCAGCCTCAAGAGAAAGAGATGTGGACACTGGCCAGCCCTTTCCAGGTTAAAGCGCCAGCCTCCCCAGTCCTCAGCCCTGCTTGGGTCCAGCCTGGAGCCCAGGGCCAGACACTGGGAGGAATAGCAATGTGTTGGCCACATGGCTGGGGCAGAACAGGGATGCAGCTGACCTCAGGCCCTCCCTCCAGACCCCACGTCATGCCGCCTTTCCAACCATGAGTGCCTCCTCCTCTGGGAGATGAGGCCAGAGCAGCCAGCTGGGGCATGGTTGGGGGTAAGAAACAGGACACCAGGGTGGGGTCAGTCTGCTACTCAGGGTAGGGCAAAGGAATGAGCTCACATCACTGACTTGCACGCTGCAGGGGGCCTTAGGCCAAGCTGCTTTGCAGAAGGTGACGCCAGGGTCAGGGATGACTAAGGCCACACCCGTAAGTGTGTGCTGAGTGACTCCCTTCTACTCTTGAGGCACCGCAGACACAGTCCTGGCCTACCGTGTCCTCTGCACCCACTCCAGTCCACTGTCAGCCTCCGATTGCCTCCACCGGCCTCCTCCCAGCCTCCTCACAGGTTACATGCTGACTAGACTCCCCCAGAGCTGTTGACAAGGTGTGAGGAGGAATGCTTGGATCTGCTGGGGAAAGACTCTCCCTCCCTCTTGGTGAGCTGCTCAGACCACTCCCCAAGCCGTCTCAGTTTCTAAGCACTTTCCAAAGGCACTGACTCCAAAAGAAGCCTCTTTGTGAAAATCAGGCCCTCCATCTGGTAAGCTGAGCCGGCCCTGCAGGGACAGGAGGACCCGCTGGAGGCCTCTCAGAGTGGGCAGGAGGAACAGATGGCCCTGGACTCCACGGGCAGCAGCTGCCCCCAGTTCCCATCAGGGACCTCTCTGGGTCCTGCAGGTTCTTGCCAGCACACACTGCCTCGGGCACTGTGTGTGTGTGGTTGTGTGTGTGTGAGACAGTGTGGGAGTATGTGTGTGTGCACACACAAGAGAGACATGCAGGACACTCTGGTGGTCCTGTGCTGCGATGGTGGGAAGGGTGGGTGAGACACTCGCATGAGACCGGCAAGTGGTGCAGCCCATGAGCTATAAAGTGCTGTGCTGTGTTCCAAGGGTCAGGGGAGCCACTCAGAAGACAGCCCTGGGAATGCGGCAGGACAGAGAGGACTCTGGCTCAGCTGCTGCTTCCAGAGGCCAAACATACCCAGTTCTACCCCGCCCTGCTCGAAACCAGGTCATGCTGGTGGGGGCAGCTGGAGCAGCACTAGAAAACCATCTTTCACGGCTGCCTTGGAGGCCATGTGGCCCAGGCTAAATTAAGCAAAGACTAAGCAAACATCAAAGGCCACAGGATGTTCAGAGCATATTGTTTAAGCCACCAGATTCAAGCTACAAAAAACTGTCTTTTCTAGTTCTTTCTTTAAATCTAGTTTAGAAGATATCTGGAGTCTCTGCATAAACCCTCTCCCCTCAGGTAGAGCACTCTGAGTGCTTTTAATGAAAGAGGAATCAAGCAAGGGGTGGGAGGCGCATGGCAGCAGCTCCCTCAGGATGGGAGGCCTGGGGAGAAGAAGGAGCACAGTAGGAGTCTCCTGTCAGGCCTCTCTAGGCATAGTACTGCCCTTGTTGCCTGCAGGTTACTGGCTGACTTCCAAGGCATCCATATCAGCTGGGGAGACCCAGCCGCTGGCATCCAGTTGGAACCAAAGCTGGTCCAGTTCCATAACTTGGGGGTGGGGAGGTCACCAGTCTGGGACTTCTATCCTTCCTTCCTTTGTGCCTGGACTGGGTCATCATCTCTGAGCTACCCTCATAACCCTAGAAGGTGAGGGATTCATCCTTATTGCTCCAGACCTGAGATGGGCCCTACATGATAACAGAAGGTCGAGAAGGACCCAGGGAGTGACAGAGGAAGAAGATAGAATACTACAGGTACTTTGGAATATTTTCCAGAGCCTTCCTCAGACCTGGTGGAAAGCCACAGGTTTAATGCCCATGATGGGGAAAGGTTATGCTTCAGCTTCTCAGGTATTTGGAGTTCTAGTCCTCACTCCCAATGATCACAGTGTGGTGCACCGGCTGTGGGTTCTGACCAGATTAGCATAGATTAGTGTACTTTGCTCTGGGTGGAGAGGAAGCATATGTCCAGGTGCTCAGTCAAGGGGACCATAGTACTGTCTCCTTTCTCTCTGCTCCTGACTTCAGTGCGATGCTCAGAGCTGACAAGTGCCAGTGTCAAGATAAAATAAGCCAGCTGGGTGCCGCCTACCATCCTGGCCTACCTGGCCTGGCACTAGGTATGACCCCTTCATCAAGGTCAGGAAAGAGGCAGTTGCTCTTCCCTGTTGGTAGAGGCCTGGGATGGGGGTTCAGATGTACCAATTACAGTTCAGCATTCTCTGGGTATTCCTGCTCAGCTCTGCCCATCCGATACCTACAAAAGAGGTATTGGGTATGGAATGGCAGGTGTCAAGAGGGGTAAGACCCAGATAGTTGAAATCAGTCAAGTTCTCCTCCCACTGACTGGGATCAGGATACTGCACTGCTGTTTCTAATGACTGTATTCTCGGTTCCCTAAAACCCGGCCATTCCACCCTGTACAAGCAGAGAAGCCACCTCAGTCTGACCATCCAGTCAGGCCTGTCAGCAGAAACCTTGCCCATTGGCATGAGTTGATAGAGATTTTTGTCCTTACACTCAGAAGTCTGTTTATCTTTTGTTGCCTGGCTGAGGCCATGCTCTGTGTACCTTCCTGAGAAGCCAGTGTGAAGCCATTAGCCTGATTGTTTGTCCTCAGTTGTCACTACAAGTGGATGCTTAGACTGAACAGGTAGCCTCTGGGACTGCAGACTAAACTTGTTATAGTGTGGCTCAGAGCCACGTTACACTGACTCTTCCTGTCAACATCAGTAGGTAGGCTGCTCCCTAGCTTCCAAATATTCTTCCTTTTGTTTTATAATCAAGGGGTAAATGTCATATAAAGAAAAAATAATAATGGCCTCTTCAACTCTTATACAATATGATTTTGTAAAATTTTGTACCAATTACAGTTCAGTATTCTCTGGGTATCCCTGCTCAGCTCTGCCCACCCAATACCTACAAGAGAGGCCCTGGAATGGCAGGTATCAAGAGGTATAAGATCTCTTGAAGACTTCTGAGTTTTTAGAGTTCATAGGGTTTTGTATCCCATTTTTAAATTATTTTGATTTGTGTATTACAAGCACATGATAGCACTGCCCACTGTGAGCCTCCAAAGAGCTGAGAGCCCTGACAGCAAGTAGCTTCCTGAGCTGCATAAAACCCTCCCAACAAAGCCCAATGAGGGTATACCCCATCCAAGGGGAAAGAATTAACAAACTTTACCTAGATAAACTAAGAAAAAAGATATGTTTCAAATAGAGTAAGAATTGAAAGCTGAAACATTACAATTGATATCATAGAACTACAAAGGCTCAAAAGATACCACTATGGCCAATTGCACACCAGTGCTAGATAACCTAGAAGAAATAGATAAATGCCTAGAAATATACAGCCTGCTAGGATGGAATCATAAAGAAATGGAAAATCTTAACAGACCAATAATGAGTAAGGAGATTGAACAGTAAACAAAACTCTGCCAACAAAGGCAAATCCAGAGCCAGATGGGGTCACTGGTGAGTGCTACCAAACATTCATACAAAAATAAATGCCAGTGCATCTCAAATTCTTTCAAAACACTGCTGAGGAGGGAACACTTCCAAACTCACTTATGAGGCCAGAATTACTCCATAACACAGTTAAACAAGGACACTACAAGAAAAAAAAAAAAAAAACTATAGGCCAATATCCCTGTGGAATATAGGTGCAAAAATCTTCAACAAAATATTAACAAACAGAATTTAACAACACATTAAGAGAATCAAATACCATGGGCTAGAAGGATTTATTCCAGGGATGCAAGGATGGGTCAACATCTGCACAGATAATTAAAAGTCATTTCAGTCATAAAGGAAGAAGCAAAAGTTTCTGTTTTCAGATGACATGATCTTATCTACAGAAAATTCTAAAGACTTCAGGAAAAAAACTGTTAGAACTAACAAACAATTTCAGTAAAGTTGTAGGATACAAAAATTAATTGCATCTACATAAACTAACAATGAACTATCCAAAAATAAACTAAGAAAACAATCCCATTTACAATAGCATCAAAAAGAATAAAATACTCAGAGATGTATCTCACCAAGGAAGCCAGAGCTCTATAAAATACTCATGAAAGAAATTGAAGATAACACAAATAAATGGAAGATACCTCTAATTCATTCAAGAATTAACAATATTAAAATGTCCATACTATCCAATGTGATCTGTAGATCCAATACAATCCCTATCAAAATTTCAATGAATTTTCAAAGAAATTTTCACAGAAATGGGGCCAAAAAAGCATCCAAAAATTCACATGGAACCACAACAGACCCCAATTCATTAAAGTAATCAAGGAAGAATTGCAAAACTGGAGACATCACACCTCCTGATTTCAAGCAATATTCCCACACTACAGTCATTAAAATAATGTGACAAAAGAACAAACACCTAATCAGAACAGAAAAGTAAAATCACACAGATATGGTTAACATTTAAGATGACCTCATTTTATTTCTTATTTATTCATTTATTTATTTCATTTTAAAAGGACAGGTTTATTAGGAAAAAGAGGAAGGAAAAGACCTGCATAGAGACAGGCGGGTAGAGAGCATCCGCTGCTGCTTTGCAAAGGGATAGTGAAAAGAAAAGGATTATGAAAAGAAAATGCCTGCATAGTCACAGGCAGGCAGGAGAGCTGCTGAAGATGACCTAATTTGCAACAAAGGTGCCAAGAATACACAATAAATGATGCTGGAAAACTGAATAGCCACATGCAAAAGAATGAAATTGGACCCTCATCTTAAACCATATACAAAATCAACTTAAATGTAAAATCTGATGTTGTAAAACTCCTAGAAGAAAACAAACTCCTTGATTTTGGTCTTGGCAATGATCTCTTTGGATCTGACACAAATTCACAGGCAACAGAACCAAAAATAAACAAGTGGGATTACATCAAACTAGAGAGTTTCTGCACACCAAAGGAAACAATCAAAAAAGAAAGAAAACATAGCAAAATAAACAAGGAAATATCCAAAATAAACAAGGAAACTTTGCAATTCAATAGCAAAACACAAATCTGATTTTAAAATGGGCAGGGCCAAACAGATATTTTTCCAAAAAAGACATACAAATAACCAATGAATATGTGAAAACACGTTCAACATCACTAATCATCAGAGACATACAAATCAAAATCACAATGAAATATCACTTCACATTTGTTAAAATGTCTATTATTAGGGCCTCCCCTGGTGGCACAGTGGTTGAGCACTGGGCTGCGAAGCTGCCTGCAGCCTCTGCAGCCGGCTGGATCCCACACCGAGCACAGACCTCTCCTGCCACGCCCGCTGCTCCCCTCAGCAGTGTATTTCATCAGTCTGCCTGTTCTGTTCCCCGCTCTGGCTCTGGTGAATTCTCTCACCCTCCCGTGCTTCTGACTATACCCACTGCTTGTATAAATAAATAAATAAATCTTTAAAAAAAATTTTTTTAAAGTCTATTATTAAAAATATAAAAGAACAAATGTTGGGGAGAAGAAAAGAGAACCCTTGTGCACTCCTGATAGGAATATACATTGGCACAGCCATTAGGGAAAAGTATGAATTTTCCTAAAAAAAATTAAAAATAGAACTACCATGTGATCCAGCACTTTCCCTTCTGGGTATAGACCCAAAGCAAATAAAATCGCTATCTCAAAGAACTATCTGAAATGAGAACCCCTTGCTTATTCAGTGTTATTCACAATAGCTGGGGAATAACACAGGAAACCCCCCTGAGTATCCACTGCTGTCAGCAAGTGGATAAAGAAAATGTGAGAAACACATGTTCATATTGTATTATAAATATATAGATGTATGTGTAGCCATTATTTATATAATGGAACATCATTCATTAAAAAAAAAAAAAGAAATCCTGCATTTACAACTACATGATGAATCTGGAGGGCATTGTGCTAAGTGAAATGAGCCAGGCAGAGTGAAGTCAATACTGTATGGTATATCACTTATAGGTGAAATCTTAAAAAAAAAAAAAGAAAAATTGTCAAACTCAGAACCAGAAAGTAAAAAAGTGGTTGCCAGAGGCTAGGGGCTGGGGGAAATAGGGAGATGTTGGTCCAAGATTATACTTTCAATTATAAGATAAATAAATTCTGTAGGATGGTGATTACAGTTTAATATGTCCTATATACTCAATCAACATAATGGGAATTGCCCTCCCCTCTCCAGGGCTCAGAAAACTGGAAGACAAGGCCTGGATTCCAGGGCTTTAGATGCCCATGGTTAAGGCCCATCCACAGGAGGCCCGTGCAGAGCAGGTGTGGTCCCTGCTTCCACCTGGGCTGGAATGCCAGATGTACCCATGAAGAGTATGGCAGGAGTCAGATACTAAATCATCTACACAACCCAGTGTCTGGGATATACTACTGGGCTCAAGTTCTGGCAAGAAAAACAATTTGGCCATAGCCCTGATGTACCTGCCCAATAGCAATGCCCAGGACTTCCAAGAACTAAGGTAATAGGGCAGAAAGGGGTAGAGGCAGGAGAGTGCACTAAGAGCTTCTACAAACAGGTCCTCCTTCTTGAGCCCTGCCTAAGATCCCATGGCCAAATGAAGACAAATGTCTTTCTCTTCTCCAGGGCAAAGGAGTTAGTGCGGAATTTGGATCCACTAGGGACCAGAACCATGCCAGCTTCTTCTCATCAAATCCTCACCCAAAACTCTTGAGCTAGAAATCATTAACCTGTAAGGAGCCTGCGGAGCTGAGTAGCTCAGTGATTTGCCCAAGGTCACACAGCTAGTGTGAGTCACACACAGCCTACAATGGAAGGACCTGGGACCAGGAGTTCTGAGTACCTTTTGCACTTTCAGGAACCCCGATTCTGCAAACCCCTCCAGGGCCAAGACTCAGGCTTTACCCTATCAGCCTCTCTGGTCCTCACCCGTGGAGCCAGTACAAGAGTCCTGTTAGCACGGCCTCCAAAAGATATACCATTTCCACCCAAGCTCACTGCTTCCACCTCAGTCCAAAGAAATACCCCCTCTTCCCTGGATGACCATTGCCTCCCCACTGGTCTCCCCACACCCCCCTTGCCTCCTTCCTCTCTATTTTCCACTTGGTGGGCAGGGCAAAATGCTTATCAAATCACATCACGTCACCACATGGAACTAAGGCTTCCTATTGCCTTTAGAAAAAATCCCAAGCTCCTACCCATAGCCTGAGAGGACCCACATCATCGAGTCCTTCAATTCCACCTCCTACTTCTCCCTATCACCCCTCCCCTATGGCCAAGCAGCCTGCACGCTGTTTCACTAATCTGTTCTGCTCTCTTCTGCCTCAGCAGTTCCCTCTGCCTGGACCTCACTGGGTTGGTCCTTTTCATTATTTCATTGTTGTTCTCCCCCAGACACACTAGCACCTTGTTTCATTTCCTTTTCTTTGATTTACTTGTTCAATGCCTCTCTCCCCCAGCAAATGGTCGTTCCATCACCTGCCCTGCCCTCTGCCACACCCTAGTTTACAGCCCTGGACACACACACCTCGGGTGCTCAGCATACACGTAGCTGATAAATGAGCCACAGACCCACCTGGTTCCGGAATATCAAGGCCACCATGCCGCCAATGAGCTCCATTATGAGGCAAAGCACAAGGACATACTGAAACTGAAAAACAAAAGTCAGAGCTTCACCTAGAAGGCCCAGCAGAAGCAGGTCAAGTGCAAAAAGGAACATCGTCTGTAGCAACTCTTCTTGGCTCCTGGGCCTTCTGCCCCTTCCTCCAACGAGGATATGGGATGTGAACAGACAATCCCAGGGAAAGCCCTTTTTTGGATCCAGTGCCAGGAGGAGGACTCAGATGGCCCAGCCAGGTAGTCACTGACATGTGACCCAGGGCTTCATGGGGTCTTGGTGTAAAAGCACACCCCCTCCCTCCATCACCCCACACCATCATGAGGAGAGCTGGTCCTCTCACCAGCTAAGCTAGAGAGCACAGGCTCAACGTGAAGGCCCAATTCTGCTAAAGAGCCCCATAAAAAAGGGGTGAGGGGGTGCTTGAGGCTTACAGGATACTCTCCTTCCCTGCCCTTTATGGGAAAATAGGCATTGTTCAAATGGATGCCAGCAACCTCCAGCCTCAAATAGCACCAAGACCCTGCTTATACAGGCTTTTAGGGGCTTTCCATGAGAAACAATGAGGTCCATGTGGGTACTGAGTAAATGGATCTGCCTTCCCAGTAGCCCTGGCTTTAGGGAGCTATCACTCACCCCATTATAAGAGGGGCAGGTGGAGCTGGCTCCACCCCCTGACTCCATAGTAGACCATCAGCACCTGGGACTTTGTTCAGAGTTACCAGGAAATGTTCCCTGGGCTCTCGGCTATAAGCCCTTTTTGGCCTGAGGCTGCCCATGCCCATGGGAGGTGGCCTGAGAAAGAGCTCAGTGGTGCCATTGAGACTCCTGAATCCAATAACAACATTTTTTGTTTTCATTTGCTCTCATTTGAATGTGGTTTCTCCCAATTCCAACATGGGATTTAAGTAAAATTATTCAAATCATCTTTCATACACAGACTCAGAGGTGGTCTGGGCCCTCTTGGGGCACCATGGACAGAAGGGCTGATTCCACAAAACCCTTTGAAGAGCTGGCTGGAGGCAAGGACTGAAGAAACTGGACTGCCTGAAGTCCAGGGCAGGTCTCCCAAGTCTCTCAGGAACTCCAAGGACCCACACACCTTGGCTGAGGGCTGGGCAGGGCTGACTCACCGCCTGGAGAAGGCACAGGTTGTCACGGAGGGAAGCCAGCACGCCAATGAAGGAGACAAAGAACATGATGGCCCCCAGGAGGATGAGGATGATGGCTGGGGCCAGGAAGGCACTTTCAAGGGTTTTGTATTTCTGCCGTTCGATCTCTGCATAGATCCCCACCAACAGCACCAGGCCCCCGATCAGCTGCAAAGAAGGCAGGGAATGAGAGAGGGAAGGCCTGGTGGTCATTTGATTGTCCCACAAGGAACTCAGCTGAAGGCTCTGGTACTTGCCACGGGGTGGGGTGGGAGGGTGCAGAGTGGAGGATGCTCAGCCCAGTTGACCACACAAAAGGGGACCTAGTACAGGCTGTGTTCCCCCAAAATTCATATTCTGCAGTCCTAATGCCCAGAGCCTCAGAATGTGACTGTATTTGTAGAACTTTTAAAGGAGGGTAATTAAGTTAAAATGAGATCACACGGTGGGTCTTAATCCAGTGTGACTGTGGTCACAGAGGACAGGGACACAGAGCGAAGATTGTGAGAAGACAAAGGGAGGAAACAGCCACCGATAAGGCAGGGAGAGATAAGTCAGGGCGAGATAAAGCAGGGAGAGATAAGGCAGGGAGAGAGGCCTCAGAATGAAATCAACTCTACCCACACTTTGATCACAGACTTCTAGTCTTCAGAATTTGAGACAATACATTTCTGTTGTTTAGGTCTGTGGTACTTTGTTACAGAAGTACTAACAAATTTACAGACCCTTTGGAAACATTACTTGAGAGGAAAGTGCAGGTGAGTGGGGGAACATGCCACTGGTTAGAGGCGCAGAGAACCAGGCTGGAGCCCCAGATCTGTGCTCACCAGCCCTGGGCCTTGGACAGGTATTGACCACACCAAGCCTGTTCTCATCTGGAAAATGGGGGTGGAGACACTTGTTTCTGTCTACTCACCCCATAGGTTTTTGCAGACCTGCATGCCAAGAGGGATATTTTTTACTGTTCCAGGGACCCCCAGCAGCCAGAACAGTCCCATGTCTGTCGAATGGATGAGAGCTCTTTGCAATACCCCCTGGCCTGGAGTGTGATGCTGGCTACCAGTCCCTTGTCTGCCCAAGATGCCTACTTTCTTGATTTCACACTCCCAAGAGCAGAGATAAGTCATCCGATACATGGAACTGCTCACTGAGTTGAATGCAGCATGGGAGAGCAGCTGGAAGGTGCGGGTGCTGTCAGCCAAGATCCAAGTGAAAGAGGGGAGGGATAAGACTCCAAGACATTGAGGAGCCCTGCCTGAGCAGTGCCCACTAGAGTCAGCGCCCCTCCAGTTATCCATGTCTGTACCTGGCCTCACATGGGCTGTCACGTGCCCTGTAGATCCCCTTGACTTACTTCTAAAGAGTGCCAAGACTGTCCTGGGTAAAGGGAAATGGCTGCTTCCCCTGAGCTTTGACAAGTAGCTGGGATGCCAAAAATTAAACAAACAGACCAAGCTTAAGTAACACCGGATGACAGAGGATTACCAGGCACCATGTCCCATCGGTCCAGCACTTTGCAGTATTTCTGGCTCGGAGCCTTGACCTGAAAAATCATCCAGGGTGACTGAGATCCATTCCCCCAATCTAAAAGAATGCCTGTCCAATAAGACGCGCCAGAAGGGCTACAGACCTGGGGCCTCTGCAGTGGCACAGCAGGTTGAGCACAGCACTGTGAAGCTGTCCGCAGCCTCTGCAGTGCGGGTTCAATTCCCGGCTGACCAGGGAGATACCCACATGGCGCGACAGACCTCTCATATCTCGCTCGCTGCTCCCCTCAGCAATGTCTTCGGTCCGTCTGCCTGTTCTGCTCCCCTCTCTGTCGCTGGTGAATTCTCTCACCCTCCCACACCTCTGGCCTGTACCTCAGCTCTTGTATAAATAAATAAATCATTAAAAAAAAAAAAGTGCCACTGACTTGAACAAACCCAGCTGTCAGGTACTCATTAACAAATTGGCCATATCAGAAAAACATGCATAAGACAAGATGCAGAACACACTCATGCACCCAGACCTCTATAGGAAAATGGTGATCCCAGAAGTAACACCTGCCTTTGATAAAGATACCTAGAAGCTATCTGTTAATCCCAAACTCAGACATATTCAAGGCCAGCCTAACCCCATGGGTCTTCCAAGAACAAGCAACTTTAAAAGTCAGATCCCTTCCTTCCAAATTATTCTACTTATCACTAACTCAACCCTAACCGTGAACCAGATACAGAGCCCAGACATCCCTCCATCCCAAAGGTGAGGATCATAGTGAAAAAGAACCTCACTGAGAATGAAGTCTTCAGAGCCTAGACAGGGTATGCAAGGTCACAGTGCACCTGTGGGGGGCAGAGATGAGGTTTTATCTTCCATTTTGATGAAAAGTGAAATTCACATACTGTTGCTGAACCAACAAGACAATATTTTAACATTTTCAGAGCTGATCCCATAGATTTATGTGAGTTCTAAGTTTCCTAGGCACTAACATCTTCTCACCACCCTTGTGCACCTCCATTCCTCATCCTGCCCATGGCCATGCTTCTGGATTAAAGAACCTGCTTTGGAAACTATCTCCCAAACACCAGGGTTGTTGATGGCCCCAATTCCAAGCAGAAATGATTCCAGCCTTCTCCTTAAAGGCAGTCAGTAGCTTCTTCTATTTTTAAAAGCTCCCCAGAGCCCTGGGACCCATTCCAGAATAGCCTTGCTGGCAGGAAACAAAACTTCCTTTGGTCTGATCTCTCTCCCACTGCAAAGTATTGCCTCTTCCTCAGTAGTGAGTCTTGCAACATTTCCAGACCACTAAGGCCCTGGGAAAAGCTCCTGTGGCAAATACAAACCCAAGCCTCCTGACACCCCTAGCACCATGCACAGAGCTTTCGCAGGTCTTGTTTTTCCTGCTCCAAGCAAAGGGGCTGTCAGCCCAGCCCCGGGAATGGCCTGGTAGGCAACTCCCCAAGGCAGCTCCCCACATACTGCAGGCTGAGCTATTGTTTGAGTGCAGTGGGCTTGGGGAGAGGCTGGCATACTCTTCCCATGAATTAAATGGTATTTATATCTACAGTGACATCAGTTTATGTTTCTATCTGGATAGAAAATTAACTGTCAATGCTAAGCATGCAATCCCATCCACTCTTCTCTGCTAATTATAGCCCTTCACCAGGAGGCCAGCCACTCCAGCTCCAGTGCAGGAAATGAATGGCCTATTTATCAAGGAGGACAGCTTCAGCTAACCAGCACAGGGGTGGAGACACACAGCAGGCCAATGCCAATTTGGGCCAAGGAGGGAAAAAATATGCTATTGCCAGGACACAAGTTAGGCCCAAAGCCCTGGACTTTTCAAGTCACATGGTGTCTTCAACAGGCTGCGGAGGAGCTCCATCACCCCACATAAACTCGGCTTATAAACCTGGGCTCCCCAGCTTCCCCTTCCTCCTCTCACTCAGCTGCTGGGAAGCAAGAGGCCCAGGCAGGCACTCCAGCACCTGTGTCTCCTCTTTCAGGAAGCATCTGGTCACTGGGCCCCACTGACTCACCTTCAGCTGGGGCAAGTCTGCCCTTAGATGGGACCTGCACAGCCTGTTTCCACCCCAAAAGGCACACACCCTTCACCGATTGTGTTCCAAGCCCTGTATCTTGGGGACACAGATCTAGTCACAAAACTAGATACAGGGTAAGAATGGGGAAGGAGAGAATAGGAGAAGCTGGAAATCTATGGTCTGGGGATGGATGCAGGGAGTCTTTGAACTGAGTTAGTCACACCATTGTTTTCACTAACCTCTAACTGAAATGTTCCTGCCATTTCACATGTAGACAGAAACCCATAGCATTATTAACAATACCTGTGACTTTGTCACCAACAGACATCAAATCAGTTATTCCTGGATTGCTGAATATCTTAAAATATCACATATATTCCACATCAGTTCAAAATCACAGCATATTAGACTCAGTGTTAGATCTGGTGACTTAATGCATTGATAAAGGACATTATCACAGAGCTGAGTTTGTAACATTTTAATAATTGTATCTCAATAAAATTGATCTCCTTGGCAATCCTGTGTATGTCATTTTATGCATTTAAACCATGTGTTCTGAAGAGGATTCCATCTGCTTCCCCTGAGAGCCACGAGGATCCCTGGTACAAAGAGGGTGAAGAGCCACTTGTCTGCGGGAAGAGCAATGTGGTCCCCATCATGGACAGAGCAGGGGGCCGGAGGAATTAGAACAAAAGTGAGATGGTGAAAGGGAATGACAGAAATTAGGATAGGCTTCCTGAAGAAGCCAGTGTTTCCCAGAATGCCTCAGAACTGCTTCATTCTAGAACGACCTTGCGTGGCACTGGAGGATGAAGAGCTTTGTATTGGACCCAATCTAAGCACTTTGATGAGTTTCTAGCTTAAAGGATGTGGGAAGTAGCTGAACTCCAAGGATTGAGAGACTTTAAATAAGATGGAGCTGGACTTCACGCCCACAGGTCCATGGCCTCCTGCTCTAGGTCCACGCTGCAGGGACCCCTCGTCCATAGCCCCCTTCCCCTCTTCTGTATATAACCTGGTGCTGGAAGGAGCAGTAAAGGTGAGACAAGAGATGCGAGCTAATGGAAACAACCCAAATGCCCAAAAATAGATGACTGGATCAAGAAGGTGTGGTACATATACACAATGGAACTTGACTCAGCAATCAAAAAGATAAACTCATGCAAACTGCAGCTAGCAGGAATTTAGAAACCCTAAATAAGGGCCCAGGAAAAAAACTAATTCTAATAAAGTAAAAATCAAAATCAACAAGCAACTATAAACCAGAGACACACTACAGAGGGGGGAGGAGGGAGTAGGATCAAAACAAGGGGGGTGGGAATTGCATGGGGACTATAACCAAGATGCAAATTTATACATTGTGCAAAAATGAAAAATGATGTAAAAAATGTATAAAATAAAATTTAAAAATACTAAAAAATTAAAAAATAAAAATTATAGAGAATAGATTAAAAAAGAGAGAGCATGCGATGGGAGCTGGCGTTCTGGGCTCCATTTCTTAGACCAGACTCAACTTTAGGCTAAATGGCATGAGGGGCAGAGTGAGGTAACACAACCAGAGCCTGTCTGTCTGGCCTGCCATGAAGGTTCCAAATGGGACTTTTGCAAAGACCTGGGAGACACCAGTGTGAACAATCTTTGCAA